CCGGCCGCCTGTCCTCCGCCCCGTTGACAATGGCTGGGTCGCTGGCCGGGAATTTGCAAGAACTCTCCGCGCGGTACCTGAGCTCCTCGGCCTTCGAGCCTTACTCGCGGACCAGCAATAAAGAAGGGGCCGAGAAGAAAGCGCTGGACTGATCGGAAGCGTTCCCCTGTATTTATATTTATAGTCTCTATCGTGGTGATATTTATGGACTCGCGCGAGTTAGGCGCCGGGGATCCCGGCTCCCAGGAGGCCCCTGACAGCTCTGCTTCCCAACCAGGCTCTGCTACCAATTTTATCTCATTTGGGCTGTTTTTTTTCCCTACATCCCTCGCCCCCCAAACATCCTCTGAATCCAGGAGAATCCAAAGAATTAGGGGAAAGGCCCGAGTTAGATAACCCGATGCGCCAACCGATGCTGGGCCCGGGAGGGGAAAGGCCGGTTCTGAGGCCGGAGCACAGCACACCTGCTCTGGGTCCCCCCGCTGCCGCCCTTGATGGTTAAAGTCTTGTGAATATTCAGAAGAGAAAAGCTGCACGCAGAGCCCAGGGGCTGGAAAAGCTGGCAGGTCCCCTTAGACCAAAAAGGAGTCCGTTCCTCCCTCTCGCCAGAGAAACCAGGGCTGTGGGGAGCCCCTGGTCCCCCCTTTGCGGACCTTTCCGGAGAGCCGGGCGCACGCAGCTCCGGGCTGGACAGATCCTGCTGAGGTTTCTCGCGTTAAAGAAACTCCGATGGCAGCCACCTCCTGGGCTCCTGGGCTCCCGGACCCCGGGGTAACACATTTGACCCAATCAGCAATAATCAGTGATCACCACCGCATTCAACCAGAGGAAGTGGAACCGGTTTTAAAATGCTCATCACCACGGAGTTTGGAAGGTCTAAGAAAACTCGGCACAGAGAATGCGCCACCGGGCAGTGCAAATGAAAGTTCTGGGGGTTAACCTTGTAAACAGCAATTGAAAAGGGAAAAGCAAAACGAAAAGCCCATGCAGCGAATGGAAGAAAATTCAGCATCACCTTCTACAAGGCGGCTGGGCGGTGGCCTACAGCTGCGCGCCGCTCAGGGGGAGAGCGCGCGGAGCGGCTCCGTGGCGCTCCTCCGCACCGCCTCCCCACGCGTGGCTGTGGGCAGCATTCCTGGGTTTGCAAACAAATCAGTGCCCGGTGCCTCTCGTGTCCTCCCCACTCCCGGATTCACAAAACTCTTCCGACGCGGGGGGAAACGCCTTGATGGATTTCAGAGCAGAATTTTTTTCGGAGGGAAAGGCGGGACGCAGCCTGGGACAGCGGCGAGGCCCAGTCTCCTCCGTCTGTAGTCCACGCCTCCAGATGGGCATCCTGTGTGGCTGGAAAGGATCCCTCCCCTAACCCCCCAGGGTTTCCCTGGTCCCAAGTCAGAGACCTGGACCCTACCGGTGCCGCAGCAACAGGACAGTCCCCACAGCCACGCTACCCGCATTTTAACCAAAACCACAGACCCGTGTCGAGAATGTATTCCTCCACCGGAAGCCAGCCTAGAGCATTTTAAAATAGTAATTTTATTGTAAATTATTTACGTCGGAAGCTTTGTTCCCTCTTTTTTTTTTTAGGCAAATTATTTTTAGTGAAGAAAATAATGAGCGATTCCAACGCGGGTAGGTGTCCCGGAATCCTGGCTACTAACTTTGTTCTGAATGTTTTGGATCTTTGGATGTTTTGTATTTATGTGGTGAGAGTGAAATATATATATCTATGATGATAAACGAGGTGTATTTTTGTCTTGTATTTGAAGGAGAAAACGAAAACAGCAAAAACAACAAAAGAAGGCAGACCCAGCAGCTGAGTCTCAGCGTGGGGACTGGCGGGTAGAGGGTGGCAGCTCGGGCAGTGGGAGGGCACTGGGCCCCTGCGCTCCAGGGATGAGGTTTGGGGGGGTTTCTCCAGGGATGAGGTTTGGGGGGGTTTCGTCAGGAGAGATAGTCTGCAAGGGTCCTTCCACTCCTTTGAGGTCTCCTCTCTAGACTCTGTCCCAGTGGTGTCGGCCCTCCCCCCTCGACCTCCCACTTTCTGTTTCCGATGTTTAGGAACTTGTCTCCAGACCCCCTGGCTGTCCGGCCTCCTAAGGCTGCTGGTTTCAATCGTTCTCCAGCCCCATCTCCAAGCTGGCAGTATTCTGGACGTTGTGCAATCACAGGGCCCGGAACAGGCAGGGTCTCCCTTTTCTCTAACTTGAGGATAAGTCTCTCTCCTGGCAGAGAGAAACTCCGAAGGAGCAGGAGAATGAAGTAGACGGTAGTTCCTGCAGAGATGGCCCCCCCCACCGCACCCAGTCCTGATGCAGTGGTGACGGATGTGGACTGTGGACCTGGCACACAGAAACCTTGGGGAGCTGGGAGGGTGCCCCAGGACACATTCTCCTAGCCTGGGGGGCACAGAGCCTGAGCCCTCCTTCCTGGGCCCACACACCTAGGGCACGAGGGGGCCACAGTTCCCTTGGAAACCCCCACACGTGCACTGCGGCCGCCCAGTGTGGGCAGAGGACCCGGCGCTTAGTGTGGGCCGGGGCGCCACCGGGTTGAGGACCTTCACCATGAACTGAACCCCGTGTTTGCTGGGAGCAGCCCCCTCAGACGGTTCACTTCTGTTTCTCAAAGTCGCTGCACACCCATCAGCTTCGCTACCTGTCATTTTGTCCCCTTCCCACCCTTCCCTTCTTCTAGGGCTTTCTTCTCTTCTGTCCTACAGACCCCTGGGCTCTAGGGTCTTTCTCTCCTGCAGGCTCTCCGACTCCCTCCCCCCAAGTCCTCCCTCTCTCCCCTCTGTCCCTCTGTCTCTTCTCTCTCTCTCTCTCTCTCTCTCTCTCTCTTCCTCCCTCCCTCCCTCCCTCCCTCCCTCCCAGTCCTCTGTCTGCCAGGGTGGCCCCAAGGCCAAAGGTGTGGGTGGTTCCAGCTACGGTTTCAGGGCTGGTGGTTGGGGCTAGCAAGGGGGAGAGGGGCTGAGAAGGTGGCATAATTTTATGGAACAAAAGAAAAACAAAATCCCAGCTTTAGGGTCCCCAACAAGCTCGGTCCCCTCCTCCAGGAGCCTCTGCCTGGGGAGTCACCAAGCAAATCCCTTAACAGCTACCCCCCCCTTCCCCATTCTGCCCGTTTCTCCATTATGCATTCTTACCCCTAAAAGGGGAAAGGACCAGTTACTCCATCTCCTGGCTCTCGCCTCCCTTCCCTCCCGGGCTTTGGGGAGAGCTGCTGAGCTCTCCACCTGCCACTCAGGGAGTGCAATTGTCTTTAAAGAGACTCTGCATAGAAAAAGAGCTACACTTTTAATTAAAAAAACATTTCTCGACAATTCATCTAATTTTAGTGCTCGTCTTATTTCCCCTCCTTCCCCAAGGGCCTCGGGCAAACTGCCTTGGTCCCTGGAGGCCTCTGGCTTCCAACTAGTGATGCAGGCCAGGGAGGAGGCAGGTGGCCTCCGTGGCAACAGCTGGCCCTGCCTGGGAGAAGGTGGAAGGGGCATCTGGGGGTCAAGGAGAACAGCTGGAGGTGTGTGGGGGTGGTGGTGGTGGGGGGGAAGGTTGGAAGAAATCTCATGCCCAGGCCTGCACAAAGCAACATTCGAGCTAGCTCAGAGCAGAAAAGAAAAGGAAAGAAAACCTCTTACCAAACTCCTGTGAGTTTGGTGGTCAGGTGTGGGAAAGATGTGGACGGCCGCCTGGGGAGCTGAACTGGGACGCATGCTCATATCCACACCTGCAGTGGGCCTTCCCCTGAGCTGATATGTGTCCATAATGACTAGCATTTAGCAGCCCTTCGGAGTTTACATACAGCCTTTCACGTTCACCATCTCTATCCCTCCTCACTTTCAGAGGCCCAGCCTCATTTTAAAGAGACACACACAGGCTTGCAGCAATCAGACAACTTGCTAAAGGCCACATGGGCAGAGCCCCAAGACTGTAAGCTCCTCCTTGGGCCAGGCCCTCTTCTTTCTGTTTCTTTCTCCTCTCTTCTGCTTCCTCTTTCCTTCCCTCTCTCCCATCTTTCTTCTCTTCTCTGTCTTTCCTTCCATTTGTGCTCCAAGTGTCTGGCTCATGGGACCTGAACCCTTTAGCCTCTTCCCATCCACATCTGCCCACTCCCATTTCCAGCCCTCTCTCTACTCCACCAGCTGCAGAGGAGTTCCCTGGTGCTTCATTCTCTTTCCTGCAAGAACCCAACTCCTACCCTCTCCTACCCTCTAGAATGGCCTCTTTAAACCTCTTACCCACTTTGTCGTACACTTCCTTAACATTTTTTAAATGGAGGCATCACATTCATACAGTAAACATCTATACAGTAAGGTACAAAAGCTTAAGGGTACAGTTGATGAGTTTACACACACACACACACACACACACACACACACCCCCACACACACACCTCTTGAATTGTTCCAGTGAAAATTTTCAACTTGTCACCTTCGGCCACATGATGACACAATATCTTCCTCTTGTTTGAAGAAATGATGTCATGTTGGTGTGACACAGAACACCTTTCTAGGAAGTCTTCCTAAGGCATCTTGAAGCCACTACCAATCATGTATGCCTTCCAAATCCCTGTTGTCCGGAGGTTAAGGGACTTAAGCTGATCAGAACTAGAATCTACCAGGTTGGGGTTTCTCAAGATATAACAGAAAACCACTTGCTTCAGAACCACCTGTGGACCGTTTAAAACGCAGCATCCTAAACCTCAGCCCCACCCGATGAATCAGAAACTCTGGGGATGGGGTTCAGGAATGTGCGTTACTAGCAAGTTTCCCAAGTGATGCTTATCCATGAGAACATGTGAAATCGACTCTACTAAATGGCCAACTCCCCAAACACTGCAACCTCCAGCATCTGGCCCAGGGCCTGGCATCTGGTGGGAATACAGAGAGTGTTTGTTAAACAAATTAACCCACATTTTTCTGACACAGTTTAGAGTTTCTTGGGTCACATCATAGTATTGTAATTTAACACCATTTCTACACTGAGAAATCTTTACATTTCAGAGTCTTGTTATTCGAATAGGTTTTATTTTGATGAAGCAGGAGAGGAAAAGGAATAGATTTTGGTGGTTTCTCGGGTCTCGGGAAGGGCTTTTATAAACCCAAGTAGGACCCCCTTGCTGGCAAGGCTGCCCCTCCTTCAGACCTGGG